CGCCCGAGCCGCCCCTCAGGCATCCGTCCCTCTTGGGCCCGCGGGGCCCCTCCGGGACAGGGCTCCGCCGGTGACATAAGATGGCGGCTGGGCGCGGTTGAGGCGTTCGCCCCGTTTAGCAGCCTTGAGGAAGGACTCGCAGCCGTGCCAGGCCTGCGTTAACCCGTTGCAGGAGCCGAGCGGTGGGTTTCCTCCCTCGCTGTCGTGGCAAGGCTCAACACGGCTTGTCAGCTGGGGCCCCAGCCTGCGCTGCCGTGCCAGAGGGAGCCCCCCCTAACCCAGCAAGGCATGCGTTCTTGGGCATCTACGGCTGTTCGTTCGCCTAAACTTCATTTAAGCTCTAGAGAAGGCGATCCCGTTAACGTGGTTGTGCTTCTGAAATAGGGAATGGGACTTGGCTGGAAGTGGTGTAGAATCTGCCACTTGGCCTTTAAACAGAGGCTCTTCAGATCATGCCGTTCCCCTCATTTTGTCTTGTATTGTTTCAACTGTGGAAGCTGCCACAGTAATTTCCCTTCCTGATATACAAGAATATGCTTTTGTACAACTTCTCATGTTTTGTCCAACCCAAGGAGAAGGTAATGGAAAGAGGCGTTAGGTTTAAGTCTTGTTTGAATTCTGTGACTATGTAGGAAACGTGTTCTCATTGTCTCCAGAGTTCTTTGTCAAGGCATAAGAGAGCCTCCCTTGTACATTCCTTCCCTTCTCTTTGTTCTCGGCCCTGCGTTAGCTGGCATTGACCAGGGTTGGGCGTTTTTAGCCTGCCAGTGCAAAGCGTTGTCTTGGACAGTATCCGTGTGTGTAAATGCTGGTGTGTTGTCTCAGTTGCATGTACCAGAGGCAAGAGAAATTTGTTCTTCAAGATGACGAGAAAGGGGATGTTTTGGATTCAGCTGGTAGCTTTCCCAGCATTTGATTGCTATCGTATGTGGGATTTTTACCTAGCCCTGTTTTTAGATGTGAATGATTATCAAGGCCCTAACTTCCTTCCTTTTGAATGGCAGTCCCTCAGAAACAGAAGGAAACGTGTGGTTTCGGGTACTCTGCTGTGTATCTTAGACTCACAGTGACAAGTCATTATGAAAAGCCGGCCCTTAACAACTGTTTTTGTGACCTGTTGCTTTAGTTTATATCCAAGTGAAAAAGACAGAGGTGGAGTTATAACTTAACTATTTTAATAAATCTTATACAGTGCATGGTTATATCATTTTATCCTTCGTTCAATTACATTAATGTACAGTACATTATAGCATTATCTGCAGGCAGTACAAATATAACAGATGCACAGCTCAGTCATATGGAAATTTTAAAAAGTGACTTCTGCAATAAGGTCTACTGATATATTTATTTTATGAAATGCTCCCGTGGCTCCTGGCTTTACAGAACTGTGGTGTACACTTCTATTATAATCCCAAGTAACTACAATTCTGTGTGATTTGTTTTCCTTTATACCCAAAGACAAGAATGGTGTCGTACTTCCTAGCTCACCATTTGTTTTCATTTTCATTTTAGAAATGATTTAGCCTCCTGTGCTTGTAACACCAATGGTTTGCCAGTGTTCACACCTGCTTCGCATCTCCACCCTAATCCAGAGCCAGGGCTTCTCAGGAGGATTGTCCTCTTCATCCCTCCCTGACAAGGTGAGTGCCCTTTGCAAATTCCAGCCGCTGTGGCAAGCCAGCAGGGTTGTAACTAAAAACACGATCATCCTCTGTAAGTTCCCTGCCTGCACCCTAATTCTGCTGGTGCTAACAACGTCCTATTTCAACATTAAGAAACTATATCATCCATTAGAAACATTTTTGGAAGAACAAAGCCAAAATTGAGAGGTGCATCAGTAGTCTCAGATTTAGACACGTGTTCCCCAGCCACTGCTTTACAGCTGTACAGCTTTTTTTCCATTAAATGTGCAAGGACAGGCCCAAATTGTGCAAAGACTTAGGCACCTTCTTAACCTTTTAAGCAGGTGCGGCCATTCACAGCACATAAAGGAAAGCACATGCGTAAGTCTTTGTGGAGCCTGGGCCTGAATTCCTATTCAACCAAAGTTAAGGTGTGTGAATGAGAGAGAAAGACAAAGTCTTCCCGGTCTGCGAGCAGTTCCTGTAGATGTGTTTGCTGTACTGCATTCCTATCAAGTTGGTCTGTAAGTAAAATATAGCTATAAATACAGTGTGTGCCAAACTTGCTGTGGACAGGAAATCTACTATATGCTTGCTTGAGCTTTTAAAACTTTGAGCAAATTATTGATGCATAATCACTTAATTACGTCTCTAGGGAAAGGGATTTTTTCCTCATCCCTTTTTATAGATTGTAAGAATGAGGGGGTATTTCACTAGATAGATATATACATATGCACATGACGTTATTAAGAAAAACAGGAAGTGAAGAACAACAGCCTCTACTAAATTAGATTATTATTTTTTTTCTTGTGGCCATTTATTCTGTGTTAAAACAGCCTTTCCAAGTGTGCTTTTGTTTCTTAGATATTTAGGAAGCATTTCAGATTACTCTTCACAATGAAAATGTGAAGGTGGGGATGAGTGATGAACACCCTGGGAAGGGCTTTGGATGTGACTGGGTTGGGAGCAAATGGTCGGGGCTTATCGTCTCCTTGTTTGAGGCCTGGCTTCAGCAATATTGCAACTTTCCGATCAGCGCCAAGGTGAAGGGCTGCACAGCTGCCCTGAGCCCCAGCTTCTGTGTAAGCAGGGATGATCAGGCTGAGCTCACCTATTTGTAGATCCAAATCACTTCAGTTGTCACTCGGATCCTGCTCGTAATTACGCAATGAAAGCCCATTTCCACTGTTCAAAGACAGCACTAACTGGTACATGTATTTAAGGAAGCAGCCAGTCTTAGGTAATGTGTGTTGCAATTCTAGCCTTGTCCAACGAGGGGGCATGGGGGGACAGAAAAAGGACAGTGAACTGTCACAGGGCCTTTGCTAGTGGGCTGCAGGGGTATCTGCCACAAAGAAGGAAATGAAAAGTGGGAGAAAAGACTTATTTCTGTGGTCCAGACTCTAAACATTCAGGCTGGCTTGTTCTGTGCTGCGTGCCATGCCCTCTGTTCCCAAGCCATGCCGGCGAGGGGGGTGGGAGCAGGTACTGCCCTCTGAGAAAAGCTTTGCAGGGTCTTTTTTGCTTGAATCCAGCCATTGTCGTACATTCAGACACGTGTGAATTCTGATCTGCTCTGATCGCATGCACATAAAATTTCAGTATAAAATATGTAGTTATAAAAAAAAAGAATACTTCATGCAATGTTAAAACACCTTTCCCAGAGGGACATGGTCTTATTGTCTACCCTTATCAACAGTGTTCAAGAAATTGTCACTTTGATGGCAATTACACTGCTAAGTGGAGCATTGCTGTCTCTTGTCTGGACTGGGGATCATTGCTTTCATTCCCTTTTTCTGCACTACTATGACTAATAGCTGAAATAAAGCAGATAGATTTTAATAAGCAGAATCAATCCTTTCCTGGCGACGCTTCATGATTTCTTGGAGCTCTGACTCCCCTCTGCTCTTCTAGAATGGAAACAAAACAGGAAGTTTGAATTTTAACTTCAAGCTGTAGCTGAATTATAATATTTAACTAATGCTGTAAGAGTAGAGCTAGTTTCAAAGGGATGAGTGATACCGGTAAGAAGGCAGATTCATTAGTGGAGATAGGGTGATCTGCCTTACAGATTTGGGGCCTTTTTGCTTAAAAGACTTTCTCAGCGTTTTTAGGTGGTGTGTTTTTTTGGTTGTGTGGGTTTTGGTTGGGGTTTTTTTTTTTGCCCCCTTTTTTTTTTAAATTGTGTTTCTTAAAATGTCTGTTTAATGGGATCTCTGACACTGCTGGTACAGGCACCCATTCAGGTGGGAGCTGTCCAGAAAACTACTTACCTCCAGTTGGTTCTTCTCCACTGTGATTTTACTGTATACTCTGTTTCCCTCATCACCACACACTTTCTTCAACTCCTCTCTGTTGAGGGAGAAGAGCTGAGCTCCAGTAAGGATGCCAAGGTGTTCCACTGTCCTGGGAAGACACAAAGCGAGGAGATGATAATTGTGCTACACGTGGCCTCTGGCCAAAGGTGAGGAGTCAGAGATAAAAGGGCTAGGAGCAGCTGGCTGCAGCCCCTGCAGCAGGACCGTATCACACACAAGGCCCTGGGGCTGTGCCAAGGTGGCAGCTGTTGGGTAACCCACGCTCTTGGCGGGGATGACAGCAAGCCATGAGGGGCGGGTGAAGCCAGCGACACCTTGGCATCCAGTGTGTACCCAGCCCCACGGGTATTGCAGTGATTTCACTCCAGTTGCATCGCATTTGGGGAGCAATCCTGGAGCTCCTCTTAGCTCATTGTGCAGAGTGGGAGGTGTAACTCGTAACCCTTAACCACATGCAGCTTTTTGATCCTTCCCTGGTGGCTGGGAAGATTTGCTAGCCCCGGCTGAGGGTCTGGCTCTTCCTCAGAGATACTTTACGACAGCTTCTCCAGAGACAGGCAGTCATCTGGAATTTGCATTTCAGGCCATGGGTTTAGTTAGTTAATTAGTTATTTTTCTCTAAGTTCAGCCCTCTGAACTGGCTAACTGGGGCCAGACAAGCACCGGCAGTAGGACGTTGTGCAGCGTTTGCCTGCGAGTTGTGTGAATAAGCAAGACCATTCCTTTATTTGCAGCTACTCATTAGGTCTTTTGCTGCACTGTAAGACGAGGTTTATTTGATAGTGTATAAGAAAGAAAGGGAGTAAGTTTGGGCTCTGAATGTACGGGTTATATAGCCTGGATTTAATATGATTGAAATCTAATTTGCAACACAGGCTCTAAAGGTAAATATAAGTGACTTGTAATCCAGCTGAAATGTTGCAAGCTGCCTCCCCCACTCCTTTTTAAATGAAGGACCAGCATTTCATGTGGTGGTAAAGCAGATCTTACTCTTTGCTGAATGACTTTGCCTCCAGCCAAGCTTTGACTTCTTCAGCGCTGGATTCGAAGGTGAGGGGCACAAAAACTTCCTGAGGCTTTTCCACTTTGAAATTCCTCTGGGGAGGCTGAATTTTGTTGTTTGTGATCTTCTTTAGCAACTCATCATTCAGCTCATCCATTTGATGAATAAGTTCTGGGGAAACAAGGCACAAGGTAGAGAGTAGGGAATGAAAATCCTATTAAATTAATGTGTTTGCGGGTGAAATGTAAGGAAGATCAAAATGTGGCTCAGCATTTTTATTAACTCTGTAAATACACCAAAGGAAAGTGCTTACTTCTGTATTTTAGTTTTAAAGAACAAGCTTAAGTGCTTTTGGAGCAATCGGTTGAGCAACGACGTTTTGACCTTCAAACTTCGGTCAGGAACAAATGTGAATGGGAGACCACCACAGTTTTGGAGGCTGGCAGACTGCTGGAGCAGACTGTGGGAACCTCCCCTTTCCTCCCAAGCCAACACTCTCAACTTCCTTCAGCTTTTGAAACCTTGCTTGCTCTTTGGGAGAAACCTAGATTTCTGCAGTTCTTCTCCAGAATGATGGAGAGGAGGAATCACAAAATAACAGCCACATGCTCATCGTCCACACAGCGATCACTGAATCTAAAAAGCTGCTTAAGGGTTTCTTGCAGCATGACTGTCCCCAGGACAAGGGCACGGTTTGGTACAAGCACTGCACGTCTGAGATTTTGGCCTCATTGCTTCAGCAGCGTCCATTAGGCTAATTGGAGAGTCTTGGAACAACTGCTGCTGTTCCTGGGAGAAGGGAAATCTCTGGTTCTGATGTTGACCAGCATTGATATAGCTGTATAATTTCTAGAGAAAAGTGTACTCTCTGTCATGGTATATACCAGCAGACTCTGAGCTGTCTCATTTAATAAGCACATATTCCCCAGTCCATGTTTAACTGAGTAGGGATTGGTCTGGTGTGAAAAAGGAGAGCTCACATCTGCAGAGGCACTTGGTTTTAGCCAGCAGGAGCAAAACTGCCCATCAATCTGCCTGGAAAATTCTTGTTCAGAAGCACTTATTGCGGGGAAAAGTGTCTCATATTTGGGCAAAATAATAGGAGAACATTTTGATAAGAACACATTCATTTTGTGTGACTGGTGTCTGTAGCAGGTGCTGGTAAGGACCTATATTTTCACCTATTTTATATACAAATTTATATTGGGATCGATCTTGTTTCTCATGTTGCTAACCTATCCTGTTCATCACACCTCATTCAAAGGACATAAAGCCCTGCAACACTGACTAGCAGAAGTTTGCTCAAGGGTGGTGTAAAACCTGATCTGGCAGTGTCTTCGCTTCCACCGGTGCTGTCAAGTGGTGACAATGGACAGGGTCCCTTTTCCCTGATGTCTGGTGTTGCTGTCGTGTTTTTGCTTTAGTTTGTCATCTTCCTGGTTTTGAGTTACTTAGTTCCCTTTGGGCTATTGAAATAAGGAAATTGCCCTGCAAACTTAGCAGCAGGGAGCGGAAAAAACCCAGACCACATGAGACAGCAGAGGTCAGGGAGGCCTGACTATCTGTTTCTGAGAACAAGGTTCCCATTTTTCTGTGCCTCTGTGTTGCCATTTATTTTCTTCCCATTGCCCTTTCGCTGTCACCTGATGTGGAAGGCCAATTGTGTGAATACCTACAATTAGAGTCTTGTTTTTGAGCTGTAGCCCTGCTCCTTCCACTTTTCAGTCCTCTCTGCTACTTCTAATAAGTAATTCGCTGAGCCAAGTCCTCAGAGCTCCAGCTTTTGCTGTGCAGCTAAATAGAAGTGGCAGGAAGCATGAACTGGGAGTGAGCAGCACACTCACAAAACTCCAGTGACACATCATCCAGTATCACTTTTTCCATGAAGCTCCTGAAGACTGTGGAGAATAACTCAGTGTTATTAATAGATACGTGTCCGCGATGCTTGTATTATGGGCCTTTCCGTCGTCCCAAAAGGGCTCCTGCTTCCAGGAGTCTACGGTAGCTGAACAGGGGATGAACCCCGGTTTTGGCCTTTGGGAGACAGCTTGCCACAGGTGTATGCAGGGTGTGGTAAGGGGGTGAGATGAGCAGGGCTCCTAGTCTTTCTCATGTTCTGTGACCCCGCATAGCACACGCAGGGTGAGGGAGTGATGCGAATCTCCTATTTGGCAGATCTGCTGGCTGGGGTTTCTCTGAAACCACTTGAAGCAACAGGCCAGGTGGGCACTGCACGTGTGGCAGGAGACAAGAGCAAAGGAAGTGAGAGAAAGGGATTGACCTGGATATGGGTGGTTGCTTAGACACACTTAAACCTGCTGGCGGGGATAGGAAACTCTCTCCTTGGGAGGAGGAAGAAGGTCAAGCTGGAAGGAGGATTAAGGTGATGCTAAATGACCTTTTTGCCCTGCTTGTCCCAGGCTGCCTGAAAGCCTGTGATGTGAGCCAGCGAGCTCCTCAGAGCTGCTCTGTTGGCTGTTGTACTGCCCGGAACCTCCTCTGTACATCTCCTCCAAAACCACTGAACCACTGCTGGTCTATTGCTTATCACTAAAAGGTTCAGTCACTCCTTGTGCAGAGCCTTATGAGAGGGAACACACACTTGGGTAGGTCTGGTGACATGCACACAGCAACCAAAAATAGTGGACAGACCATTATGGTGAAAGTAAAGAAAGAAAGAAAACCACCGGGACAGAGAGCAAGCAAAAGCATGTGCTCACAGAAACTTTTCAATTAAGTCCTGAAATGCAAAGCCGCGGTGCCAAGCTCTCTGGCTGCCTGAGGCTGCTACATGTGGTGTAAAAGGTGCCCGGACGCTGGGAGCACGGTGTGGGACACATACGTTCTTTGGCATCCTGGGGAGAGTTGCGCGATAACATTTCACTTCCCCATTTATCCCCAGCGTAGCTGGCAGGTAGCTTGTGAGTTGGGCTGGAAGGTCCATAGCCCCTGGGGCTCAGGTCTCCTTTGTACCTCTGGTTAGACTAGGTGATAAGAAAGGAAAAAAAATGTGTAAGAATATTTTTTTGCCATTTTTCATTTTCTTAAACTTTTTGCCTCCCACCCTCGATAGCAAATTGAGGGACAAATTGCCATGTTCTCCCTGTGCTGATCTGGGGCCGCTCAGCTGAGGTTGATGTGACCTCAGGTGGAGCTGCATGGAAGAAGCTAATTTCTGGGGTCTCATGGGAACAAACAGAACCTAAGCCAAAGGTCGAAGACTGCGTGAAGGCATTTACACCCCTGGAAAACATGTCACACTCATCACACGGAGAGGAGTGGTGTTTTATGCTTGCTTACTACTGTGGTGGATGACTGCTCTCACATGCGTGACTCGGCCCTTTAGCCTTTTGCTATGCAGAAATTACTGCTCGTAGGACTTCCTTGGAGATGGAGAGCAAGGGAAGCAAAAGGATTTTTATATGAAGAGAAAACAAACAGAAATCCCATTTGAAGCTAAAGCATCACTGCTCTAGGAACTTGGTGTTAAGTGGGACCACTGCCAAGTGCCCGGAGCGGTCTGGGAAGAGTTTTTTGACATTTTGATTAAACTTACAGGGCTTTTATCCAGAGGCCTGCTGGGGCACCTTATGCTTTGCCCAAGCTGTGAAATACCAAAGTGGGGAAGCAATTCCATGCTTCCTTAGGGCATTTAGAGCTCTCCAGCTCCACATTTTTGCAATGCAAGGTGCTTGAGAGCAATATTCACTTAATACTCACTTAGATGGTATTTCCATCTGCCTCCACTCCAGTAACTTGTTCCTGCTGCTGAACTGAACTGGATGAGGGAACTGTCTGTCTTTAATTTAACCCCCAACAAAAATCTCAGCATTTTGGTGGCAAAGTTTGCTTTTATGGCAGCGTTTCATCCTGTTCACAGCACAGCCCTGAAAGCAGCAGGGCTTCACAACAGAGGAGGTGGTAAACCAAAGGCTGAGAAGTACGTGGGGTTGCGGGGGGGAGGCACTGGCAAAAGGTAGAACTCTTTCAAGCCTCCGTAGCCAGCAGCTGTTTGGTGACACCTCAACATGAGACCTTTTCTGTTGGGATGACAAGTCATGGTGCTAGGCTCGGGGTGGGTGTCCCTTCGAGCTAGGGTCTCACTTCGTAGCAGGCTGCTGCCTATAGCACAGGACTCAGCCTTCGCCTGTCCCATAACCCTGCCTGCCAGGCACTGTTGGCAGCAGGCAATGTGCTTGGCGTCTCGGAGCAGGAGGAAAGCATGAGGCTGCCGCGTGGATGGGAAGGATAGGCCTCGCTTGGAGAGGGGGAAGGTAAACAGTGGCAAAATGTGAGAGTTTTGTCATAGGAGACTCAGGAATCTCCAGGATCCTGGTTCATCTACTTGTGAGGGTTCATGCCAACTTGTGCACAGCATCCTAAGAAATCCAGGGAGGTCTAATTACAAGATTATTCTCAAAGGCTGATTATGCCCTGCAGCCAGCTACCAGTTAAATATCACCTGACTACAGACCTGTTCGAGCTCTTCCAGTTTCACCACATCCAGGATGTTATAAGGGACGTAACCAGCCTGCCCGCTCCGGTTGAGCAACTTCCACCACTGCTTATTATCTTCCAACACCTGACATAGGGGAAAAAATAAATTTGCTAGTGAGAACATCAGATTTCTGGCATACATAAACGGTGTATAGTGGAAATAAACCACGCAGTAATGTGAAGTTGTTAGAATAACATCATTGAGTCCAGGAGCTGGCAAACAGATCTATTGCACTCATTTGCAATTCAGGACTGAAGCCCTTCCCGAAAAGCATCAGAACTTATCCTAATGACGAACAGGAGAGCATCTCTGGGGGAAAGCAGATCTGGGGTGCTGAAGAACTCATAGTTCCTACTTAATCTGCCTCTTTCTCCATCTCCTTCCTCCCCCCCCCCCAGTGATTGAGTTTGTGTTGTCTTTTTGCATTAAAAAAAAAAAATCAAGAGTGACTCCTGCCAAAGATTGCCAGAGTGTTATCATATGACTTGATCATGTGTCACATCGTAACACATAACATAATCACATCATAACCATGATGTGGCAAGGAGATTGCCCATTGCTGAGATATCTCCTATTGCACCTGCCCCCCTGCTCCTTTCAGCAGGCTTGTTTTTACTGTGATTTTTTAAATTATTTTTTTTAAAGTAATCTTCCCAGAATGGATGAGCTTTGCTGGCAAGACCCACACACGTTTCTCATTCTAGCTACGTTTTGAACAGAGCTTTGAGTTTTGAACAGAAGTCTTTTTCTCAAGTCATAGATCTGGTACAGTTAGCATGTAGACCAAGTCATGTCCTACATTCCCCAGTTGCCAACAGTGTTGCGGTAAGAGAAAGGTTATGAAAAAGGGTGTTTTCATAGAAAATAATTCCTTTGGGGTGGGGGAGTGGTAATAACGAACACAGGCCCAGCAAGTGGGTGAGCAGTGTACTACAGTGACTTGTTTTCCTTCCTCCTCATTGCTAATTAAGATGTGACTGATGAGTTTCAGCTGAGCAAACGGCCCAATGCATCCAGTCAGCCTGCTCCAGCTCAGACATAAAGCTTTAGATTTGAGCAAAGCTTCATGTCACTGCTCAGGAAACACCAAGCAAAAATGAGCTGGCACTTGCCAGTATCTTGAGATACCTCTTCTGTTCCTGGAAAGGGGAGGAGGGCATATCTTTTTGCTGAGCATGTTCACTTACCTCCAGGATTTCATCCTTAAGCACTGAGAGTTCATTGGCATTTCGCGCAGTGAAATCGTAGCGGATTTTGGCATATCTTTTCGGCAGAGCCATTCCCTGTGCCTCAAAATTCCTGCAGGAGGAAAAAAATGGAGTTTTAATGGCGGCCCATCTAATAACTAGGGCAATATAGGTTCACTGGCAAAAGAGGAGTGGTGAAGACTGTGTGCCAGTGCAGGTAGAGAGACAATTGTGTTTGTGTTGGGGGGGCAGTGCCTCTTTGCTACTCTATTTTGAGGAAGATTTTCACTCCTCGTTTTAGTGAAATACCCTGTGTTTGGGGGGAAAAAAGCTGTAGGGCTGTTTGGTTAGTGGCCTTATTGGGGGACCGTGAGGCTGCTGCTTTCAGGGTGGAAGAAAAGACTTCTTCCCCTGTCAGTTGCTGCTTTGCTGCAGCAAGGACTGGGGAGACTGACAAAGCACAAACAAAATGCTCTGATTGCACCTCCTGTGAAAAATAAGTGTGAAACCCTCATGTCCTGCTTAGTGGAAACAACTGCCCCATAATATGCCAGAGCAGGGGAGAAGCAGACACTAGGGCTGGGAGGCAGGATATTGAAAACGAGCGTAGGTAGAACTGACTGGAAATCTGTGTTTTTTTCATCAGGCGATGAATGCTGAGCTACTGAAACAGAATTCTGCGGGTTCCCAGGAAAAGTGAGTTTGAATGTTCCTATTCTAAGATGCGTTTGGGGGGAAAAGGATGTGTTTAAGTATTTTGCTTGGGCATTTCTGACATGAGAATATACAGCTTTCAATGTTGAACTGACTTTTCATTTGGAGAGAGAGACAAAATAAATATGGTAGATTGTAAAAAAAGGGAAAACGGTGGAAAAAGTGCAATGAAAGATTTCCTTTGACCCAAGCTGAAATGGTTTATTTTTTCATAGTTTTTTTTATTGCCTGGCTTAGGAAAATTTTGCAGATCTCATCTTTTTCTTCTCTGGTTGGGATGGGTGTAGTGTTATTTTTTAATTCCAAAAATGTTTGCAGTATGGAAAAACTGTCTTGCCTTGTTGTCTAAGGGCAGGTAGAAACTACTTTAATGCACCTTCTATGGATCTTTCTGCTTATGGCTTGCAAGCTGCACAGCTACCCGACGCAGAAGACTCCCGGGTGCTGTATTCGCAGTGGGCATGCCAACAGGGGGTCAGGTTCTCCTCCAGTTTATGTCAAGTTCTGTAACTCAGTGAAGCCAGTGCTTCTGGCACTGCTAGCAACTATGGTTTTTAGCTTGATATTTTTCTATTGCCAAGTTCTTGGGTTTGGTCAGTGATTTGAAATCTATAATCTGTGGAAACTCGGCTCTTTGTGGACTGCTTCTGAGGCATCTGTAAAACCTGGCTTTGAAAAACAAGCCCATTGTGCTTAGTTTCAGTTCATTTTACTGTCTTCATTAGATAGCTTTTGGTGGTCTGAAAAAGATTGAAACCACTGGTTCAGTGGTTTGATATCATGCCTATGGCTGTAGTGCTGTCTTTAGCTCGCTTGATTTGGGACAACTCTTGGTCTAGTTACAGCCATGTGCAATATGTAAATCTGCAGCGGGGGAGAGCTTGGAGCAGACTCTCAAACAGATTGAATCCACCAGTCGAGAAAGGGAGTGGTGGCCTTACCCAGCAGTGCCCTGAAGGCAGGGAGGGGGAGGAAAGCCAAGTTAGGTAGAAATTACTTCTTTTGTAGCATTCCAGAAGGTAAATGAGTCATGAGGAAAGAGGTGACAGCTGGAGGAGTTTGAGGTTAATGTGTATTTTGCATGCACCTAGATTTTACACAAGCGACCTTTGCCGATTATTGTAATACTGCTTGGGGCTTTCATGACACCTCTCTGCAGCCAAAAGCCCTGTTGTAAATAATAATACTGATGCATGGGTATTTTTGTTAATATAGGGTCTCTTGGTTAGAAAACTAGTTCAAACTACCCTGAAAAAAGTATGAGTACAGCAGGAAATATGTTTGTCCCAGGACTGTGATCTTGGCAAACATCTGGGCAGACTTGGCTGAAGTCTGCTCCGGACTGAAGAAGGCGTCTAAGCACATTCTCAATTTTAGCATCTGCTTCAGTGCCATTAACTTTGATGTGTTTTTCTTAAATGTTATCCATACGGAAAACTTGCTGTTGACAGTCTGAAAGGTAGGTAAAAAGGTACAACACCTATCCCAGGAGAAAAAAGACCCTGATCTACTCCTCGTGAGCCCACACAGTAGTTAGGCTGAGTGGTGCGTCAGGGAAACGGTCACCTTGGTAAAAAGGCATGCTGTTAATTTGCATTCCAGGACTCGATACTACTATTTGTAGTTTGCCTGTGCTGAGACTAACAGATGAAAATGTTTCCTTACGTGTGTTATCTACCAGTCACTAAAGATGGACTTAAATGTTCTCATGTAAACTAAGTTCTCCTTATTTTTTCATAACCTCACTGAGAAAAATGGAATTGGAGAAGAGAATTTGTTATCGGAATCCTTTCCCTACTCAACACTGCGTCTGTACCATTTTATGGTCCCATGAGGACCTTTGAGGGGGTGAATGGGAAGAATAAGTTATTTTGCTGCTATAATTGGATTTAAGGTATTTTGCTGTGAATTTGAACTTTTTTGTAGTAGTAGTAGAGCTTATAAATCTTTTAGATTAGAACATAAAACCATGAAAAAACAGCCTGGCTTGAAGGTTTTTTTCCCAGTCCAGAGCTGGCTACAGAAAAGTGCACGGCTAAGTGCTTTGCTGGGTCTGGACTTCCAGTCTTTAAAGATTTGAAGTTGATAACTTCATGTCAAATCACTGCAAAGCGGAGTATGGCAGAGAATTAATTTGCAATTTGGGAAGAGTTTGTTGAAACTCAGAGATCTCGGGGAAAATTTCAAAGGCATAAGCCCATGTAAACAAGCAAGCAGATGAAAAGCCTCTAAACTTTGAACCAAAAGTACTTTCATAAAGATTTTATACCACTGAGTAACTGGTGATAGAAAACTAGCTGTGGGGCAAAGTGTTTGGTTAAATTGTGAGAGCGCCATTTTTCCCTGGGAAAAAAGCCTGAGGCAAAGGGGTGGCCTGGTTGGTTCTGGGTTGGGAACTGAACTTTTCAAGACTTCTGAAGGGGAGGTTTTTCCCCCCATTTTCTGGATTTATCTCATTAAGAAGAGTTGTCTGAAATCAACGCCCTGTCAGTTTCCTGATGGAGAGATGGGCAAGAGTGGAAACACATTCTCCTTTTATTCAGCCTCTAATAAATGTTTTTCCCTTTGCTTGTGTCTAAAAGCAAAAGGAGGAGCTGCTGCCTCCGGTGAAACAAAACGGTACTTCCTCAGTTAAAATGTTTTCCATGCAGTGCTGCTGAGGTCAGGCTGCTCTTTCACCAGCACTGTGTTTTTTCAACAGCGGAAAGCTTGCGTGTACTCGTGCCTTAGTACAGATTCCTCCTATAAGCAGGTTCGTTCTATGCAAGCTATTGTGGCTTTGGGATGAATGGAGAGATACTAACTTCTCTAAACGTATGGTGAACAAAAGTGCAGCACAGTATCTTTAGCACATGATCCTTAATATCACTTTGGTGGGCTGATGTTATGAAATAAGACCTACGATTGACTAATGAAGTCAGTCAGTATCTGCCTCTTGCGTGGAAAACACATGTAACCCATTTCCTTGTAGACCTGCTGGTGATTAAAAAGGAGACAGTGTTTACATGAATAATCCCTCGTCTGATCTTTGAGTTGCCTTGATCTTGTTAACAAGTCTGAATTAATAATGGCAGACAGTTATCTCCCAGGATGCCAAAACATTCTGGTGTCATGATGTGTTGCAGTGGGTGCTTATGAGGTTACAAGGTGGGAGCCGAGGCGCCGTTGTCCGGGGTGGTGCTGATACGTTACCTATTTACATGCTGAGTTACGTTCTGTTTAAAGGCATCCACAGCTTGTGTCTGATCAGTGGTCTGGCCACGCTTGAGTGAGGAGTTACGGTAAGGGTATCCATTGGCTGATGATAGCTGGAAAGGTAAAAATGAAGTCAGTGTTACCAGGAAAGGGGAAAGCTGTATCAGAGAAAAGGAGAGTGAGTGGTAGATGAATCATGGCCTGGAAGCTTTTGGTCACGATGAGGTGCACACCAAAGAAATGTTCTTCAGGCCAACCTGTATCCATGGGGCTCAGTTATGGTATAGTATCCTATTTCCTGTTGATCAGGAGATGAGGCTGATTATTGCTGCCCTTTTCTGGCCTTATTTTCTTTCCATATTTAACTGGAGTGACCAGATCCAACTGAGTTTTGAGCCGACTACTTGTTACACACCACCACAAACTCCACAGATCCATCTCTCACTCTGAAAAAGGGTGAGGGAGAGGGAAGAGAGGATGACCAGGGGCACAAGACTAACCTCTTCTTGCAAGTGTCCGATGTCTATTTCCCAGGGAGCTCCGCGGAATATTTCCATGGGTGGTTCCCAGCCATTGCGGAATTTGGGGATGTAGGTGGGGATGTTTGCTTCTCGGGGCCATTCAGCTCTAGGACATGAAGTGGGGAATATGTGGCGAGAGTCACAAGGAACATGTCTCTGAAAGCGTGTCAGGAAGAAGCAGGGGCATCAGGGCATCCTTGACCCTCTGACACGGCTATAAAATCAAGCATCCCCTCTGCCTTTCTCAAGAGCTTGGGGAACCTGGCGAGATGGCAGCTCTGTCCTCACCTGGATCTGGTCCATGCCTCTCCCAGGGAGTCCCAGAGGTTTATCTCTTTCGGTGTCAGGTGTCCTCTGAGGAAATCTGTGGTGTCTTTAGAAAGAAGTGGGCTGACGACAGACCTGGCAAGCTCAGGGCCACCACAGCTGCTGATGATCTGGATTACACACAAACACACAAAAAGATGAGAGATTTTGCAGGAAATGTTCAAAATATCAAACCAGCACACACGCAAAGGAACAGAAATCAAAGACAGAAAAATCAGTGGTTCTGATCCTTCAGAGTCTCTATGCCTGCCCACTCCAAAGGAAGCCAATGTACCCGCCATGGTGAGTTACCTCTAAGACCAGGCTAGTTCACATTAGACTTGCACTTCTGAAGTTCTCCTCTATGCCTTCATATGTAAGGGCGAGGTTTCACAACACAGATGAACTAAATTAATGGTTTGCTGCTACCTAAAAGGGATGCTGTATTGCCTCAGCATCCCCTTATTACCCTGATAGTACCTGACTGGCAGATTTTATTAAGAAAAGGCAAATAGACAGATAAGGCAAATAGTCCCTGACTAAGCTCTCCAAGGTATAAAATGAAAGCCAGAGGGCAAGACTTCATGACAAGTGATGGCCTGACTCCTGTTGGCAGCAGCTAATCCTTAGATCAGCTCAGGTGTCTCAGGAAACATCAACCTAAATCTTTGAAGAAGACTGGACAGTTCAGAGGAACACGAGAATTTTTCTATTGGAGTCAAAGCAAGGTCTGATCTGAAAATTAGCCGTTGTTAGAGACAGGATATATCGCAAGCTGGCACTTCAAAAAATGGAAAATCGCTTGGTATTTCTGTGTCCCTTCTGGCTTCTTTTTCAAGTTGGGATTTCTGCTTCCTATTTTCAGTGCAAATATTGAACCATGTTTGCTTGAAGGTGAGATCAGGCAGATTCCCAACAGGAAACATAGCTGGCTTGCACTTTTGTTCACAGTAAGTCTTTGTTAATGGCGTGGAAAGATTCGTATTTGCTAGGGTTTGTGTATTTAGTTCAAGCTGGAAATCAGAACAGAGGCCAGAAACACTGGCCTTGTTGCTTCTAGACTTTACTGAGAAAGCTTTAGCCAGTTGTGAGCAGTCTTCTAACTCTTCTGCGTAATCTAGCCGCCTGTAAGTGCGAAAGCAAGATTAGAAATAAAAAGTGAGTTCACGGTGAAACCTGTGAATAAAGTTTACCAGTTCCAGCGGCCCAAATAGGAAATGCACCAACTCTGAAGCGCTGGGGTTCTGGATGTGCTTTCTCAGTTTGGCCTGAAAAGAGAAAGGAAACCCAGTTTAATCCTAACCTGATTTTGCCTTCTCTTTCCTGTCACATGCAGGGATTGTTGCTGACTGATATTTGCCACAGTTAATAACGCAGCCTGAAAAGTAAGGAAACTTTTGACAGTGCCCTTGAAATCAGGGAAGAACAGTCAGCGATTGGGGAGTAGGACTCATTCAGTTTTAGATCATCTCTATTTTGTGTCCATTTCTAAGGGTGCTGAATTTCAGGAGGGGTGGAGTACTTAACTCTGTTAAAACCAGTCCCTTTGAAGCTATTTTGAGCAGAAGCAGAAAACCTTGGCTTATTTTGAAAGTCTTAGTGAGGAAGGGCCAGGTTTATTGCTTCTGACTCTTGCAGAGTTGAAAATCTCACTAGTTCCCACAGAAGAAGTGTTTTATGAGGTCCCTTGGCAAATTGCCAACAAGGAAGAATCTCCACCAAGGTCTTGCCTACAGCACCTAGAGCTACTCTGGCCACTGAAATGCTTGGTATTTGGAGTAGTCTGTGGTGGGATGGAGGAGCAAACGCTTAGGGTTGCTTTACTATAAGAATTGCGTTTCATTAACAGCAATCAGCTAAGCTGTGGTGAGAAACCACTTCAGTTTGTGCTTCCTTTCAGCTCTTTCTTGTGTCCTGTGCTACTGGCATTGCTGCAGTGGAAAACAGACTCCCTCCTCCCTACCGAAATGCAAGGCATTTTAAATGCTGGTGATTAAACATTAATGTGGAGTGGAAAGCGTGAAATAACCGATGGCGGCAAGGTGACTAAATGAAATGGCACTTCACAAGGACTTCGCAGCCACGTGGCACATGACAGTAGTGCTGGGGCAGACATGGCAGTACTCCACCACTGACTCCCCGCTCTCCTTCTTACTTGCCCCTGGCCTCTTGCCGAGAGAGCAGCTGCTCTTTGTGGATACACAGGCAGCAAAGTCCAGGGCCCGAGTGCAGGGAGAGCTTGGGCACGTGGATGAATTTCCTACGTGTTAATTCCCACACTGCTGATGGGGGAGCAGCAGCGGTGCTGAGCTCGGGGACTGCATGCCAGAGCATTTGCACAGACCCACAGCCTGTAATGGACACTTGCGGCTGCGTTGCGTGATTGGCAGTGGCCGGGGTAGGACACTAACTCCAGCGCAGACCTGTGCTGTGCCTAAGGGTTTGGCTGACCACACTGACTCCACTGTATTTATCTCAGCTGTGTCAGCAGTCAGAAAGGGCTGGGATGCAACAGCCAGGCCGGGATTTCTTTATGCTTGGAGAATCCTCAGCTGCTTCTTCAGGGAAGCTAACATCCTGCTGTGGATGCGTGGCATAGCCTTAGCGGGGCGCCTGATCGGTTTGTGCGAGAGCAGTGATTGCTGGCCAGAGCTGCCACCTCCAAGACTCAGTTCTGGTCCTGAGCAGGCAAAAATTACGCGTATTTGCTTCTAAAAGAAAAGGTTGGAGCTTGGTGTCCTGCATTAAGGTTGTTTACAATCTCTGTGGTTTCCTTACTAATAACTTCTCAGGAAGGATCTTGTTAGGTTGTGTTCGCTGGGCAAGTTTGGTCAGATCTGACAGAATTTCCTCCTGGCTTTTTACCCTCCTGGTCTCGCATGCTTCATTAAGCGGAGCTGGCAGCACTGGGAACATCTTTATGCTTCTGCTTTTCATCCCCTTCTTAAGACGGCAGCTCCTCCAGGGGAGAAGGAGAGGAGGAGCCAGGAATTTCAGGGCAATGAGGGACATCAGTTATTGTTAACCAGAGACTTTCCAGGCCCCTGGCTGAGGCAGCTTTACAGCTGCTCTGTAGACAGAATTGGATGAGAACAATTTAGATAAGACTTTTTTTTTTTCTTTTCTAATATTTGCAGTCCTCCTTTTTATGCCTTGTAAGGATAACAAGGACTACAGCTCCCAGAAAACTACCCAGACTTTTAAAGGCCACAAGCAGAAGCAAGTATCTAGAGTGGGGATGCCTATATAAGCCTTTGCACAGCTGTCAGCAAGGTGGGCATGGTGGTTCTTGGCTCTCTGAGCTCACAGCTTCACAAATGCTTTAAGTTAGGACTGTATCTGAAAAGAGATCCAGGCATTGCAAGGCCCCTGGCTGCTCAGTTCCGTCCTGGACTTTACGCTTCTAGTTTCAGTCTAACAACTTGGCCCAAGAAACCTGCACGAGCCTGACACAATGTTTGTTCTGGATTCTGAAGAATCTGGGATTCACACCTTTGTCCCTTGATAGTGTTTTCAGTTCAAATTTCACTTTGAATGCTTACGACTGTGATACATGGGAAAAAAGCCCTGTCACTGCATGGGGTGGAAATACCCTCTGTGCCTTACCAAGAGGTTAAAAGCCAGTTTGGTTTTCTGGAAGCAGTCGATGAACTCGGCCTCACTTGGGGGTCTTGCTCGAAGAGTCAGCATGCCCTCTTTTATGAGAAGGTGGAGAGAAAGACACTTTAATTAGAGCATCCCTTTTCAGGAAGGTTTTATCTTGCTGGCATGCAGAAAACACAGCAATAAAGGGTGCTGAGACTAGAACTACTAAAAATCTAGGGTTCAAGAAAATGAAAAGTCCTTCTCTGTGTTGGAGGCGTCACTAGGCTCTGTGTGCTCTACAAGAGGTCCCCACAGACCAGCGGCACCTTCCAAACTGGTGTAGCTGCTGTTGGGTCCATAGCCATGCTGCTGAATCAACCTGGCCTTGCTCGGGTGTAAGCTGAGGTCTCTTCCCAACCTTCATCTGTGCCCCTGTGTTCCCCGTTTGTTCTAGCTGTTGCACTGTACCTGCTGGCCCTTTCTTCTTGTTCTTCTTCCCTTTCTTCCTTTGGTTGAGCTGTTTGAATGCCTCTGCAGCCTTCTGAAGCCTGGCGACAAACAGTTCAATGTCATCCAGAGTGCAGTTCAGGATTTGCTGTGAGGACAGAAATGCAACAAACCAAGGTGAAAGAGAGCCCGAACTGCACGCAGCTGGGAAGCCCGAATCCCAGAGCGTGCCGCTCTGTGCCTGCTTCATTTCCTGGAAGAATGCACAGGAATGGGGAATCCAGGCATGAAATTAAGCTGAATTTATGACTTTCCAAACACAAAGCTGTGCCTGGTTGTGTGCTGTACTTATCAGTGTGACAAGTGACCCCTGCTAATGGACGTCTGGAAAATTACCCTAAGACCAGACTGTGGGCTGGGGAGGAGCAGACCTTCTGAAATCAGCAGAGCTACCTCAGGTCAAAGGAGATTGTAACTGACCCAGTGATGGAGCTTTGCTTTTGTTCACCTTATATTTATGAATGGTAGATATCGGTTTAATGACTAGATTATGCATAAAATGTCTGCTCATGGAGGAGCCCCTTGCTTCCTTCCTCTCTTCTCCCTCTCCTTCTGCCTATTGACTGTGCATCGTTCTTGTTACCAACCGTTTCTTTTTCAATCTTCTGTGCTAAGATGGCTCGGGACTCTTCGTAGTCATGAGAGCCAGAGCCTCGTCGTTCATAGTCTGCAAACAAGGGAGGGGGAGAAAAATATATTTACTATCAGAGGTTGAAAATAGGCTCCATTAAATGCAGGGATCCATGGGACGGTAACTCCGAGCTTGGTTGTTTATTATGGGTTATGAGAGCACCTCAGGAGATCACAAAGAGCAGGAGGTGATCAAAGTTGCCGATTAAATCTTCCAAGGTCACAGCACCTCCCTGCCAACCCTCTGTGTCGATACGCTGCCTGTTTTCAAATATAAGCAGTGAATGAATTGTGAAGAGCATCCAGCTGTCAGCTACGGGCAGAGACCTGCAAGCCCGGGTCTCCAGATGCTGTGAGTCACTAACGCCTTTGCCTTTGATGCACCTAAGCTGACTTATGCCTGCAGAGGAGCTGAAGAGCCACTGTGCATTGCAGAGCACTCCACATGTAAGTAAAGTGCGATTAGATTAACTCCCACTCTCTCTCCTAACCTCCAGCTCTCTGCAGGAGCCTTCCTTGTCCCAGAGGTACCAGTTTAACTAAACAGTAGTTGAGAGAGAAGAAATAAGACCTGGAAGTGAATGCAGCTGTCACTTGCTAGAAAGCAGCATGCCAGGAATTCTGCATGACTGATGCTTACGTGGGCCTGTGCACAAATCGGCATTTTTGTACAAACTCATGTGCAGTCTCTCAAGTGCTTTTAATGGGTGTTAAAAAAAATCCTCCTGCAAGAAAAAAACCACAGGCACCTCCCAGCTTCCAGAAGACAGACACTCAGTGAGGGGGTGATATTTCGGTGTGAATAATTGCTCGGGTGGCCTCTTGTGAAAAGAAAAACGCATCAGTTCAGTGAAATGGCATTTGAAAGGGCCGACACAGCAGGTGTTTGGACAGCAGGATATATAAAGTGGGAGAACTGGGGAGGCAGTTTTGGTAAAGGATCATGAAAAATGTGCGTCATCTTTAAGTGTTAAGATGAGGTGATTAGTTTTGACAGGTTTTGTAGAAAAAGCAATAAGGCATGTTTCAAAGGAGAAGCGATCTCAGCGAACGGGCATCATTGAAGGCTTTCTCCTGTCACCTGCTTTCGTGCCAGGCTCTGTGTTCTCAGATCCAGAAATCCCACCTGGGTAAATGCTCAGCTCTGCTGATGTAAACAACGGACTTAAAGCTTTATGCTAAGCATCCTGGGAAGGGCAGAGTTAAGTTTCATTAAAAACTGCTGTGCATCAGAATATAGGTGTTTATACGTGGTCCAGCTCTGAAATACAGATCTTGTTTTCATTAAGCAAAACTGGACCTGAAATAGGCTCTCCATTCAGGAGGCCAGAGCTGCTGCTTGGCTTCAGCTCCCATCCCGGGGAAATGAGTGTTTTCTCTCCTCAGCTGGTGTTTGGAGTTTCTTAGAGTATCCTGATTACGTGTTTTCCTTGAACCTAGAAATTAATCCTAAGAGAAGGTGGTACAATAGGCAGTGATAAGAAAGGCTTACAGTTTGCTCGTCATTTTAGTCAGTTTGAGCTTTTGTCAGAGAAAGAGCTTATTTCTGTTACCGGGAGCTTATTTCTGTTACTTCTTTCTCCAAAGAGAAATACAATTTTTTTCAAGCCAGCTCAAACGGGCTGAAATCAGGATGGTTTTGGAATAAGATTTTAGATTAGCACAGGGGAGAGGCGAGTTGAGATTTGCATTTCCACACTCAGCTGTAGGAGAATTCATGCAAACCACTTGATTTCTGAGGGTGAAATCTTGGCTCCTGTGAACTCAGCAGAGCTAGGAATTTGCCTTTCTGACCAGGTCTGTCTTGTCTGTACATTTTAAGATCACCCGTGCCTGGTCTAAACTTCATGTGATGGCTCAGTTTTATGAGGGGCTTTCACCTCTTTTGGGAATTTCAGTATCCCCAAAATACAGGTGTCATTACAAGGAGTTTCTAGGAGCTTTGATTTATTGAGCTGTTGTTGAGCAGAAGATGCCTACTGCTAGCCCAGCAGGTACAAATGTTTGCTGCGGCCCAATTTTTAGGCATTTATAAAGCACAGCCAAAGATGCAACAAAATGTTGTGTCTTTGGTATGTGTCTGTGTTAGATTATAACACAGTGAAAAGACACTGGGCTTCCCTGTGCTCCAGCAATACAGGGCCTGAAATGACCACAGGCCATTTCAGGAGGGTTGGCTGTCTGGGCTAATGAGTACCCCGAACCCAGGACAGACTTGCTGAGTGTTCCCAGTACCTGGATTGTGTTGGGAAGGGGGTGCCACCCGGTTCCTGTTCATCGCTGAGCCTCGCATGTCGTGCTGGATAGGGATGGGAGCCGGCCCTTGTGGTGGTGGGAGGATGGATTGTCTCTGCCTGATCTTTTCTTGGTTTGCTCTGCAAGGGAAACAACGTGGAACAACCCCGTCAGTGGCTGCCGATCCTGTTTCTGAGAGACTGGTGTGCGAATGCACTATTGTAACTGGGGCTTGTTTTTGTGTTGGTTTTTTTTTTTTTTTTAAACTTTGGGATTGGTTCAAGTTTTGGGTAAAGATTCAGGTTGTTTGTGTTTTACCTGAAACACAGCTCCCCGTTCCCTGGAGCAACGGTTCTTTATTGGCTCTTGCAGACACTTGGCACTCTCAGCGCATGAAATAAAAATTCACTTTTTTAACTGGGGTTTTTTTTTTTTTTTTTTTTTTTTTTTTTTTTTAAAACTCTCAGCTGTATCCTGCAGTACTTACTTGAGTGTCTGTGGCCGTATCTTCTTTCCGTGCTTGTGGTCTGCCAGGGCACTTTCTATGTCCTCGTGAACCATCTCCGCCTCAAAGATAAAACAGGGATGTTTTTAAGGGCTTTGCTTTGGAAAGGATTGAGGGCTCTAAGTGGATAAAGGAAGAAGGGGCTGGCAGACAGCTAGGAGCGTATTTTATTCTCTGTTTCACACCAGCAAGGAAGGCTCTGCTCACCTCTACCTCGTCACAGTTGAAGAAGTGGATATCAGGTTTGTGCTGCTCTGAATCCTGACACACCAGGAGGAGGATGGAGGAATAGCGCATCTGATTCAGCACCGTTTGGCAGTGCTGGACTGTCGGCAGAGGGAAGTCCTCCAGCTCCTCCTGGAAGAGAAAGAGGAAGGGGTCAGGCAATGGGGAACTATTGAACTGACAGGGAACGGTCCTGCGTATGAACTCCTGGGATCCCTGTTTGAGGAGAGAGACCTGGCAGAGCTTGTGCTTCTCAGCAGTGGTTTTCTGGGCTCTTCAAAGATACATGTCAAGGTTTGCAGAGGGGCAGTGGCTTGCGACTGCGGAATAGGAGAGAGGTGGATGGCAAACAGAGGTGAGCTCTTGTTCTCCTCTGAGTCCTGAATATGGGGCCCAGCGTGAGACTTCAATAACTTGAGCTTTGTTGCTCACCATGATCTTATTGCTGTGCTCTACCTGCACCAGTACACTTGTCATGCATCCCAGCAGAGCACTGGGAGGAAAGATGCTTTCTGCGAGGGGCTTACCCTCCCACTGTCTCCTTGGATGACCTTGGGCTAATATTCTTTAGTTTCTCAATGCTAAAATCAGAGCAGCACCATCCCTCTCCCACCATCTGCCTGCTCTTTCCCCTTGGATTAGGTGCCCTGTGAGCATGTACATGTATCACCTGTCAAAATGGTGTGCTGTTCTCAGGCAGGTGATCCTGCGTGTTATTTTGATGCAAGTAATATGTCCTTCCCTCTCTGCTTATGCTTTATGCAGATCTCTGTGGACCTGTAAGTCTGTATCACTCCCACAGAAAGCAGTTTTACTGTTGGCCTGGAGCACAGCCCAAGGCATCTTTCACCTGGAGTATCTGTGCTCTGGAGCCGTGAATAAATCATCCCACAACAACCTGCCTTTTGAATTAGTCAGCCAGCCCCCGCACACCCAGGAGTGGACTTTGGTAGTGATTTGCCCTTGTTTGGGTTCCTTAGAAGTGCCTCTCCCAGGCAGAACGGGAAGGGCACACACTGCACCCCACGCGTCAAGCTGTGGGTAGCTCTCGCAGAGCCCTGGGTACCTGCGACTCGCAGTCCAGCAGGCGGATGGACTTGTCGTTCACTTGCAGCAGCATCTCCTGCGTCCAGATCTTCTCTTTTGAGTTGAGCAAGATGAGTTTTCGAATAGCATCGTCCACCGTCACGATGGACTCGCTCTTGTCCATGATGAATGTGGCCAAGTGCTGAAGTTGGGAGGAAAGGAGGAGAAAACAGGTGAAAAAGCTTTGATGATGCATGTACCGTAAATCAGCGGTGAAACCATCTCTAAAGGCTTGAACTACTGTTTGTCTGCTCTTTAGAGCACAGGCATGAAAGAGTTGCTGCAGAAGGTGTATGTTCTTGTTGTAAGTACCAGCCTGTCTGTAGTGGTGAAAGATTAGGGTTTTGTAATGCAGCAAAGATTTTCAAAACAAGTTTCACCACTTGCATATTTATCTCATCATGTATCAATTCTAGCAGCTCTGGCCACCGTCCAGCAGCGCATGTTTGCAAATGCTTTGTACACACGAGTTATTCCCCTGGCTTTTCTGAAAGTGGCTTGGAAGTTTAAATACGGTAGTTAAACTTCACTTGACAAGCTAAAACCACTTTCATTATGCTCGTCTCACGTAGCAGATCTCCCTGCGTGGAATTTGTCCCAGGCAAAGAGCTCACACAAGCCATGGGCAAATGTTAGTCCTCTGTGCCGAGGTGGGATCCACACGATGTATGGGCTTTGGCCAGGTCCCCTGCCCCAGGTAATTCAACGGGCAGCACAGCTGCACCAGAGAGCTGCTGCACTGCAAAGCTACCCGGTCTGCAAGACAGCTCCAAACCTGGCAGCTGACTCTGCACCAGCCCTTTAATCCCCTCATGTTACCTTCCCCCCAAAAGTACCCAAATCAGCCCTCATGGTAGTGAAAATTGGCGTCGCTGACTGTAAGAAGGGATTTTTTTGCTACTTGCCTCTGTCGTGCACTGTGACTTTGCTAGATTACCCTGGTTTTCCTTCCTCCCTCTGCCTGTCCTATAAAGCCAGCCCAGGGCTCTCCCCACTACCAGCCTGGCTTCCATGCTGTCCTCCCCTCTTGCACTGCCTTGCATGTGCGCTTGGGCCGGGAGCAGCTCAGGTAAGGTGGTAACGTCCCAGATATGACTGCGCTCATGTGCTTTCCCATCCCTGCTCTAACTGTGTCCTGAAGCGTGTGGCGACCCAAGCCTTGCACTTGGCACTTGTATTTACAAAGAGTTTGTGTAACCGAGCTGTACCCGCAGGCTTTGGATTGCTCCCGGGGCTCTGTGCAAGGGGAATGCTACGCAGGGCAGGGCAGGGAGGCAGCTGCAGGAAGAAGTGTGTTGCATCCAAATGGTGTGTGTGCCCCCCCCTGCCAGCAGTGGGTGAAGGCCACTCCAGAAATCCAGGTAACTTACTTATCTCCACTCTCATCAGCAGCCACTGAGAGCAAGCACTGCTCTCTGTGGATGGGGAGAACGCGCGTCTGCCGGCAGAGGGGACTGCAGGGCAGAAGGAGCTGGGAGCCTCGCCTGCTCAGCGCAGCCAGGCTGTTTTGTGTGCAGTTGTCCCTGTGCGAGTGAGAGCACAGCCAGGCCACATGTTCAGGTGACAACAGGGGAAGGGAAAAGATTCAGGAAGGAAAAAGAAACGGTCCCGTTTCACCTTGTTCCCTCTGCTGCCCTGCTGTGTTCCTGGTGAGGAGAAGGGAAGGAGAACATGCCCAACTGGGAAAGCGGCTGAAGCTTCTCCCTGTCATGACCAGCTTGCTCCAGGAGAGAAAGGCAGGAGGTTTTCAGATGGGCAAGTTATAGGCCTGACCAACGCATCTGTGCCACAGCTAGACCAAGGGCCTGCTGCCGGGAGGCTTATCAGGCCAGGTCCCAGCTCTTTCTCTCTTCCCTGGAATATCGATGGCACATCCACCAGCATGACCCTCTCACCCTGCTTCCCCTATTCAGTAGCATTAGGGTAAATAATACCTTGCTGCTGAATCAGCTGTGGGTCAGCTGAAGAGCCATGGAGCAGATTAACCCTTCTGGCAGGGAGACCCAGGTACTGCAGGTAGAACAGATGCATTACATGCGTTCGCTGTGTGTCTGGGGGCAACAGTGCGGCAACCCCAGAAACAGTCCTGCCGGGCATTCAGTGTTTGTGTGGATGGTGGCAGTGGAAACTCCTGCTTGTCTTTGATGCACAAATCCTGGAGCCTGGTTTCAAAGCAAGAGCTGGAAAAATGGGGTGCGTTTAAAGCAAGCCACAAATTGGGATGTGAAATTTGGAGAGGCTCTTTCTTGTCTCTAGTTCAGGGATGAGTCTTGCCTGGCTTTTCTCCCTCTGATCCCTTGTCTTTGTGCCTTCTCCCAGTGATCAGACATAACCTTTTTAGGGTTCAAGCAGTTCCTTTCTGGTGCTGACTCTTTGCTACAGTGGTGCTGTATCAGGGGTCAAGGTCTGGCATGGCACAAAAAGACAGTCTTTGTCCCAGAAGACTAGCAAGCAAGAGCTACGAAACACAAGAAGAGGAGAAAGGGCTGGGGGGAAATCTGTCTCCTCCCAGTAGCAGTCTCAGCTCGTAAGCTGATTAAATAACCCAATGGGTAGTGTCCACAATGAAGCATGTGCCTCAGAAGGCAGTGGAGGAGGATGAGAGAGTTGCTTGGGAAGGAAGTCCTTTTTTACCTGTAAAAGCCCTGGGAGATGCAAAGCGGGAAGCAGACCAAGAGGCAGCAAAAGCTGACCCTGCTCCAGCACCAGGGAGGGAAGCAGCACTGTTCTGCAGTGGAAATAGGTTACAAAAGGACCTTGGAGAGGCCATGAACGTTGGGGTCTGATACAGACAAGATGGACCCGAGGAGGATCCGTGCACTCAGCACATGGAGCCTTGGATGGTCGTGTTGAAGCACAGGCAAGAACTGTTGTTGCAGTCAGCTACAGTCAAGGTGGATGCAGGGGGAAAGGCTCAGATTTAAAGCACTGGTAGCCCTGACAGGCAGAAAGGGCTGAGTCTTTAAACTTGATGGTCGATGGTGGGAATTAGGGGTGGAGAGGATTGGTGGTGACCAATTTATTGCTAAGGTGGTTGTTGGATGATTCACAAATACTGGAAAGAGCAGAGAAGAGGATAAACACTGCAGAGTATAAGACCCAATCCTGTGTTCATAAAGCAAAGGTACTGGGTGAGGCGCTGTCTAAATAAAACTCCTGGCAGGTATTTGAGCTGAAAGCTGAAATTAGCCACGCAATCAGATATGAAAAACATGCTCAGGTATATGTTACTGTAATTGTAAAATAGTGTACAAAAAGGTATTCGCAAAGTCAATATTATCTGTGCAGAGGTGACAAACCTCTGCTTTCTGAGCAGTGAAGAGAATTGGTTTATGCCTGATGACGGGCATTCTTATCTGTTCTGTTACTTTAACTGCCAGGCTTACAATATTCATAAATTCCATTGTTGTTTACTGTTAAGTAGGTTAATGGGGGGAAAGCTACTCGTCTAACTCAGACTCACTAGAATATTTTTTTCTTTTCCATTTTCTTTAGATACTGGTGGAGTGAGAGGGAGACAAGCTTGCTACTGTCTTTGATTTATCTCATTAAAACCCCTTTTCATCCAGATGGATATTCAAATATAGTAGCTTTTGTAAGAATGGGCAATGACTCCGTCAACTATTAAACTTTGATCAGCTTATAGATTATTTCAAGGGGTGTAAAATGCCTCTTGTGAGGAAACCTCTTCCTACCTCACTGCCTGCCACTGAAATCCTGTTTGCCTTGGTCAAAGTTCAAAGTAGAGACTCACAAATGGGTGGCGTATGGCATAATTAATGAAGAATTCGTGTAAGCGTCAGTGTTTAAAGTCCTTTCTCTGCTTCTGTAAGTGACTATTTGGTAGGAGTCACTGATGGGGAGGCTGGCCATCGAGTTAGTTTCTCTGATGGAAACCAGGGCCTCTTTCCAAACAAGCATTTTTAAAAGTCTAAATTTCATTTTAGGCAACTGAACAGGCTCCTTTATTTCTAACTGTGTACTTAAGCTCTCTGCTGGACTGGGGTCTTAAACCAGAGAAGAGAGGGCCCTATCTACTAAATATGAACCTCATAAAGTGTTTTCCTTTCTCGCCTTGCCCAGTTTTCAGCAATGAATGGTCCAGCTGGCCTCAGATGGGGACCTCTGTTCCTGTGGTGCGGAGGCCACTGGCCTGCACCAGCATGTTGTATTCCAGGAATCGCCGGGCCCGGGACGGCCAGGCTGGCTCTTCTTTTTTCAGTGGATGTCTGTGACGCTGGCAGATGAATTTGGCTTAATGCCTGTCATGGCTGAAGGGTTTTGAATTACTTGAGAGGACACAGTAGCTGAGGGAGAGCTGAAAGATGATAGTCGATGTGGTCTCTGTTGTTTGGGCAGATGAGTTCCTGTAACCACCACGGGAACCCTGTTTTTAACCTGTCTGCCCATGCTGATCAAGAAGGGTTTGAAGCATGGGGTGATGAGAGGGACCACAGCTCCCACTACTATCCTTCAAATGCAAAGGAGGAAGAGAGGACAACAGCTTCTCCGTTTCCCGTTTCCTTGTACAGAATTTCCATTGTCTTTTTAATGTCTTTTTTTTTTCCCCCATTCTCCTCTCCCCAATTACTCAACACTTGAATTTGCTGAATCTTGATTGTTCGGAAAGGAAATAAATTTTTGATAAATGATGATTTCATATGCCATTTTCAATTTAAATTTAAAGTAGGAAAGAAGTCCATGTGTAATTAAACCAACTTCATATTCTTTAGTGATCATTTCTGTCCTCCCTTCTCGTCAACCATTTCCCATCTGCAGGCTGTAATGACAGAAAGTGTCTGGCTGAACGACTGATTAGTGCTGGCTCCACAGCAAGTCCCTGAGACAGTGACCTCCCAAGCACATGTCACACCTCATAGCAAGAGGACAGAGTTGCTGACCTCAAAATGTCCCCAGACACTGGTCCTAGATGTAGCCCAGCAAGGGAAAGGCTTTCCCAGCAAGGGAAAGCCAGGACAGACACTGGTCCTAGATGTAGCCCAGCAAGGGAAAGGGGACAAGCCAGGAACTTCCAAGCCTTTGGTGCAGGTCAGCACGCTGAACATGCAGAAGCAGTGACCGGTCTCTGTTTCTCTCCCCATCCCCAAAGCAGTCTGTCTAATGTGGGTGTCTCTCCAACTCTTCAGTTCAAAGAAACGTGTGGGATCCAAGGGAGGGACAGTTAAATGGTCAGAGATGACCTGTGTGACGCAATGTGGGAGAAGCCGTCGAAGTCTGGACCCGGCTTTGTTATGGGATTTGAGCGTGATTCAGAGTTGCGCCATGGAAAGCTGTTTGTAGCCTTCTGGGAGGATCTGTGAGCTATACCAGAGTCTACTTGCTTGGACTTCTAAATAATGCCATACCATAATGGAACAACTGCTGCTCTCCAAAGCAAGGAGTTGGAGGGGAGCAGCAGAGAAATAAAAGATGGCAGGAGAGCTGGTATTGATTTTAGACAGAGCAGGCAATATGAGAGGAGAGGAGAGAAAGGAGAGGGATCCAATCCAGCCTGAAACCTCTGACTCATAGGAAGGAGTGGGGTCAGTCTTGGGAGAGGAACTGTCTCAGGACTTGTGCTGCTCTCATAGACCTTTAGTTTATCTCCTCAGAGTGTCTGTGGTGAAGAAACTCCTGTGCTCCACCGATGTGGAGCTCTTTACTTTCCTACCCTTTTATGCTCGAAGGAACCGGATGAGAAGCCCAGATGACCCCAGCTTCAGTAGCGTGTTACGTGTGATTGAGAGGGCTTGTGTGGTCTCAGCCCCCGGGTCCAGGCTGGCAGGTCCATGGTGACCCACAGCTCAAGGAGAGAAATTACAGCAGATGGCTAAGTCTGAAAGTGTGTCCTACAGTCCAGGAGCTAGAAATAGTGAGTGCACCCAGCTGGGTGGGCAGCTCAGGAGACAAGTTTATCTACAGGCATCGGGGAGCCGGGAACTGTGGCAAAGAAATACGAGGTTTCAAGCAGCTTTGCTGTTTGCCTCTCCCAGGGTGAAGAGCGACATTTGCTTATTGTAAGAAGGTTCCCAGCTCCTCTTTGGCCTAATGAAAGTCCAGGACAAACGAAATGCATTGCCAGGATCTATCACTGACGTTGGCCTTTCAGCCCCTTAACGTTTCATTGCGTACTCACCTGTACGTGGTACTGTGAAGTCTCATGCATAATGACATTGGAGTGGGAGTATTTTTTCCTTTGTTCTGCAAAAAAAGAGAAGAAAACAAACCTTCATTGTAGTGGTTTATTGGTATGTCAGGGTCTGAGAATTACAGCTCTCATGATGGGGTGCTACAGTCTTTCTCATAGTCTCTGAGCTTCCAGCTTCAATTGGAATATTGGGAATAAGAAGACATACTAACGATATTAACTTTTGTAACAAGGATTGGCAAATCGGGTGTGTAGGGTACACATTCAAGTTGTATCCCTTAATGCTGCTGATAATTTGATTCCTGGAGGTCAGCACCATTTGTGGAGGAAAATTAAACATAGTGTAAAGGAAAGCCCCAGACAACGAATGATTAGGGAACCTCTTGGAAGAGGGCTGGGTAGGTGAGGAGTGGCTTGAGAAGGCTGGCAGAAGGCTATGACATGCATGTGGCAAGAAGAAAAAATCCACCATGACCCACCCGTTTGGACACAACAGCTCTCTGAATTGTCCTCCAGAAGAAACCTTCTGTGCTACTGTGACGCTTTTAGTTTGCTTTCTTGCATTTCCTGGTAAGCCACAGTAAAGGGCTGTGGCTACAGATAGGAAGGGCTGCAGGGATCAAGGCCAGCCAGTCAGAACCTGCGTTTCTTGTACAATATTTTTATGAGGCAACAAATCTTCATTACTTCCTGCATTTCTTACTGGAAAGCAGCAGTAAAGAACAATTGGGAAAAAAGTGCTTGGAATTTCATGAAGCTATTGAATATAGTCCTGTAAGAATTTACCCTGCCAGCTCTTACTTGCTGTTTAATTGGTACTTGTCCAGGGATTCCTTATAAATACTTTGCTTGAATAGCAGAGGAGTAACTATCCAGGCCCAGAGTGATCTGGGAGCATCCAAACTGAAAACATCTTCCTCACTAGCAGAGGACATCCTCTGATCTCTGGCTTGCTTAGAAAATGTAATGGAAGTTTTATACATTTCCACCCTTCTTAAAGCCTGTGTTAGAATATCCTGTCCTCTGTAGCAACAGTCACAACCAAGGGGATTTCATAACACAGCAAACATTAGGGCTCCTCGCGTTTTAAAGAAATATGTATCAATCTTAGTTTATTTGTGGTTTACTTCAAAGCTCTCTTTAATGCCTTCTCAGAGATGTTGGCTTCTCTCTCGTTTTCCCCTTTTCTTTGAACATGGAACATGTGGTCTCATTTAACGAATTTCACATTAAAGAGGCTGGCACCTAGAAAATGAATATCCTTGTAGGAACTCATTCGGTCAGTTTCCAAATTTATAAAAAAAAAAAAGGATCTTTTGGTGAAGTGGTGCAAGACCCAGGTAAAACTTTCCAAAATGTTCCCTTAGTTTACATTTTTAGTGGCATGTCACATCTTAATTGACAAACATGCTCCAAAGACTTACAGAAAAAACTGGTAGTATTTTTGATTGCTAAAATTTGAAGCTCTCCTTGTAATCAGAAGACCGTGACTTTTTTTTTTTTAATAAAAAAGATGGAAAACTGAAGATAAAGTCTATTTCAAAGTGCAGACAGTGAAATGAAGTGAATATAAAGCAGAGCAAGGGCAGGGCAGTAACTGGAAGGGGCTGGAGGTGGTAAGGAGCTCTGGGAAGGAGCAGGGTCTGCTGGAGCGGTGACCATCCTGTGATGCCCCTGGAAGGCCTCTGCCCACGTGGATGGGCTACGGGCAACCAGGGCTGCATCTGGTCACTCCTTTAGGTGATAATTTGAGAAAGAGGATAGCAGCCGAACGAAGGTGCTGGTGATGTAGCTCCTCCCTAGGGACACCACGGTTTGTTTGACTTTTCCTCTTGCTGTCCTCTGAAACTGCAAGTGTTTTGCATCCTTTTAGTTTGTTCAGCGGGACAAATACCTGCCTATGCACTTTCTTCTTCCCTGGTTTGTCTCTGTGCAAATCCTTTCCCTTCTGGGTAAATGAGCACAGCTCAAGGGGTTGAAGGAGCTCAGGCAGTAGTTCTGGCCTTACCACTGCTAGTGTCTTGTCTTTTTTTTTTTTTTCCTCTGTCCCTTGTGTAAAAGAGAAGAGACTGTTTCCTATCTGTTGCTGCTACTATTGTACTATTGAAGTTACTATCCCATTTGTTTCCCCCTGTGAAGTGGCCTCTCAGTGCCCAATATGGCCAGACATGGTATCCCTCAGCGTTGCCTTCCTGCTCTTGGTTGTCAGGCACAAGTTGCTTTGCAGACAGAGAAGCCGCCAAGCCCCAGCCCCGAGGAGTGAGCGACGTGGGCTCACTTGGAGAAGTCAAGCAGGTTCTCCCTGCACCCTGGCCACCTTCAGCAGGGACAGGAGCAGGCTGTTGCCTGCCAGGTATGCATTGTCACGAAAAGAAGGAAGAGTGATGAGTGTGGGCGATAGGAGTAGGGACAAAGAGGGAGTGGAATGGAAGTGGTCTGCTTTTGTGTCGTTTGCACATTTGTTAACAGACTCCTTAACAAACTCTTTACAAGTGTATCTTATCATGGTTGCTGTGGGAGTGACAGTGACAGACCCAAGCTGCTGGTCAGGGAAAGGAGCCGGGGTGTGTGCAAGGGAAGAAGGAAGGTTGCATGGTGCACACACCTGCTCACTCCGTGGGTCTCCTGCCTTGGGTCTATGCGTGGGAAGAGGTCCAGCAAGTGGGACAAAGGGGTACAGGGCACCCACAGAAGGGAAAGCTGTCATGCTCAACACAAGTAGTGACTGAAGCAGTGCTGCTCTGACAGCCTTTTCCTTCTCTTCTGATTACATCCTAGCAAAAATGTTCTCTGACCACTTCACCCCAAGAAAGCACTGTCTCCTGGTTGCTCCCAAGCCATGGAGTTGTTTTCTACAAGATCTACTAAGCCTGTCCTTTACATCTTCTCCAAAGCTACCAGGAATCACTGAGACTCCTGCAAGTGGACAACATCTCCAGTAGCTGCTTGCTGCTGCTGTTGCTCCTGTTGCTGCTCCACACTAGTTCAGACCATGCACCCTGTCCGTCCCTTTCCCTGAGCTCACTTGACTGAACTTGTCCCACAAACAGTTGGGCGGGGACAGCGGAGGGGTCAGTGGACTGCAGCAATGGGACAGAGAAATGAGGGTCAGGATTGGAAAGGATGGCAGTTCCTGATGCTGGTGATAGTGATGGAGAAGGTGTGACACTGAATTACAGCCTGAGTGTTGGCTGGGGGGTAATTTGCCAACGCTGACGCACGTTCTCCTTTAAGCCTTGCATGCAGAAGAGTGCTAGCAAGGAGTAAATGCAGCGAACGGAGCATCCTGCTGTGACGAGCAGAAAACAAACCCCAAAGCACTGGTTTGGAGCTTTAGCTTAGTCCTGGGGGTGTCCTTGTATTCACTTCTCACCTGACTAGCTGGTATTTAAACCTCCTGCCAGCAGATCCTGTGTAAAGGAAGGAGAAGTTGGCCTGAATCTGCTGCTTTCCCAGAGAGTTGACAGGAGTTAAAATATCTTACAGGCACGTGCCTCCTCGGCACTGATTGCCAGGATTTCTGCAAATGTCCTTCCTCACGAGTGTGTGTGCCCCTGCATGTAACATGCAGCTTGGTGCCTAGATTTTTCCTGCCTAGAATGGGATAGGATTTCAAGCCAACCCACCCAGTCTCTGTGAATGCTCCTGTTCCAGGTTATTTTGATTTAGCTCACACCTAGTGGGAATTTGGGGTTTCTTTGGCTGTCCTAAAATCAGAGAGCTGGCGAGGAGGGCAGTTAAAAACTGGTTACGGTTGAACAAGCTCAAACCTCTCAAGTGTATTAGACTGCAGGTCTTTTGCACTAAAAGTTTTCTTGCTAAGTGTCTGTCAGGTGCTCTCACTCCCATGGCCTGCCCTGGTTTGGGGCTGCGAAATGCTGGTCAGGCACAAGGGGTGGTGGAGTTGGGATCGGGGCTTGGATCACGTGCAGGTTTGCAGCATGCTTTTGCTTTGGGTTCCACCTTGGTAGTGTGAACCTTTTCCCCTAGATTCCCCTTGCATCTCCGTTACGCTTTTATTTCTTCTTGGCTTCCATGGAAGGAGGATGAGCGTTTCCCTGAGCTCAGCTCGGGCTCGGTGGGCATTGTCAGCAGGTGTCTCTCCAGAACAAGTACTGGCCCGAAGGGCTGCTTTCCTTGGGATTTAGCTTGGGGTTTTCACCTTTCTCCTTGGCCAGCAGAGAAGAGCTTTTAAATTGAGCTCCTTTTGGTACTCCTCCAAAGACGCAGGGCTGAGTGCTGGTAGCAAACCTGTCTGCGGCTGCAGCAGCATGCTAAACATACAAAGATGTGTATGTGCATACAATATGTATGTATATACAAAAATAGCCCAGAGACAATGAACATGAAAAGAGATGCTGCTGCTTTCATTCAGAACCTGGCAAGGGTTGACAGAAGCTGACTTCTAATGCTTTTTAATACTTTTCTAACACTCTTTAGGGCTGAGGTGTGCCATCAGCTTGGCAGGATACCCGAGCACTTTGCACCTTGTATCTCTGTGCCTGTAACTGAAAACACAGCAGTGTGCTTTGCCTCTGTGGCTAATTCCTGGTAGCCCTGAAGGGGCTCCTGTTCGCAAGTAGAAATGATTTACTGTTGGGCACGCTGGCAGAGGTGTTAACAGAGACTGCACGTCTCTGAGCCGGTGCCTTTTGCACCGCCAGTGCCAACTCAGAGGTGAACCGAGGATAGTTCGGGGGGGCAAAGACCTCAGACACCCAGCACAGCTCCCTGCTCAGCCATTAGCTTCCAGAGTGACCTTGAGTAAATTGATTAATATTTCAGCATGGCCACTTCCCACCTTAGGCTCGCATTGAAGGCTCAATGGCATTTTCTGTTTGCTGTGTGTTTTAATTGCAGTCTGCCCTACTTCAAATGTGGGGCAAGGTCTGGAAGAGGGCACACGGCAACACACGCCGCAGGGATTCGTGTCTGATGTGAGTAACTTCTTTTTCTCTCGGTAACCTCAATTTCCTCACCAAGCACTTCTCATGTAAATAGATGACACTAATGGAAATGAGAACACCGCGTCTGTGTGGGACGGAGACAAATT